AGAAGATGATGTCATGGTCATAACCATGCTGCGCCTAGTTTCTAGAGCATTCCAACACAACTGTGTCTAGTATATAAGAGCCCTTCAAACGTAGGATTAGACAGTAATCAATCATCGAATAAACCTCTGATTCCACCCTAGAACCCCTCCGACTCCTGACTATTTGCAGGGCGCCACCAAATCGTGGCGAGAGGAGCACGCCGCTATGCAGCAACTTCAAGCGGTACTCAGCCGCCGTATTGACAAGCAACAGCAGGAATGGGAGGCCATGCAGCAGGGATGGCAGATCATGCAGCAGCGCATTGGGCGACTCGAATCAAAGCTCGAAACTGTAATTCAATTGCTACAAAAACAACACGCAATCCCCAATCCTCAGCACACTAACCAGGACAATGAGATGGAGGACGCACCAGCTGTCGTCGCCGCTCAGGTTGTGATCGCACCATATATGGCTCCAACTGCCGAGTCTGCTATCACTGTCGGCAAACGCCATTATCGTTCCCTCAGTGGATCAGATGGGTCTGGTGAATCTATGGCTCCTGCAAAAATGGACAAGGAGCAGGCCATTGCGCAGCTACAGCGCGAGTTGAAGGAGGCCAATGAACGAGTTGAGAGCGCAGAGAATACTGCACGCGGCCACCTTGCTGAAGTAAACCGGATTCTTGGGATCAACAAAGTTCAACAGGAATGCATCCAAGACCAGGGTAATGCCCTACAGCGCCTCCTCCCAGCGGAGTGTAACCAGGCAGAAGAGGATTTGTAATGATTGATACACCCGATCTCGATTACCGCACGGGCCACTTGGACCCTGCATTTCTTAACGACCCATTCCACACTTTCAGTGCTGCCTCCATTAACGTTTGTGGAGGCATGTCCGACAATTTTTTTTCTTCATTATGCGAAATTGGTGTTCAGCAGGGGCTGGACATCATCGGGGTACAAGAGACGAAAGTACCCAAATCTAAAGAACGACACCTTCTACCGCGCCCTCACAAATGCGCCTACATGGGAATCTGGGAACACACCTCTGCAAATCACCACGGCAAGGGTGTTGGTCTCCTGATTACACATGACTGGTTCAAATTTCTTATCTCCTCCTCTCATGATGAAAATGGGAGGGGGGTCATGGCTCTGTTTGGCTTCAAGCGAGGTCTGCAGCTAGCCGTGATCAATTGTTATGTCCCCACACTTTCCTCCGACACACGCGTCGAGCACAACCGCATCATTCTCTGGGTCAAAAACCAGGTCGAGTCCCTTCGAACAAAAGGAGTCAGGGTCATTCTGCTTGGCGATTTTAATGGTGTTGTCAATCCCTCTATCGACCGCTCCTCTACCGATCATACGTCTACGGTTCCGGAGTTATCACTCTTCACATGGCTCACCACACGCAACTTCACGGACTCGTTCCGCCTCCTACATCCGACGACGCCACTCTTCTGCAACAGCAGCAGAGTCAAGGGGTCAAGGGCAGTGGTCAAGTAGGAATGCGTAGAAATGAATGCTGTTTAATGATCGTAAGTAGGGTCTATATATACATGTCTGGGGCCTATTGTACAGTGTCGTAGTGGAGTTGTCATGATGCCGGGCTCCCATCCTGGCTCTGTGTGTCGTAACCGTGCAGCTTGGTAACCGAGTGGTAATCCTGTTGCATCTTCACTTTCCGCGACGTTAGCCGTCTAGACATGGTGTGGGTTTCCAATGACCTCGCTGGATTCCTGCTCGAGGTCAAGTCCTCTCACCTAGTGGCCCCTATCCGATCCGACCATGCTTTGGTTGCGGCTACTTTCGACGTCCACACCTTGGTCAGCCCAACCCCACATCACATCCAGTCAGCCCACTGCGTGAAGAGCAAAAAGATCCTGGTCGACGCTGCAAGCGAGGAACAGTGGTCTGATTTTTCAAGCCAAGTGGAAGAGTTTCTTCCCCTCTACGGTCAACTGGAGTCTTATGGACTCGCGGAATATCTCCAAGGTGATCCAGAAACAACATACGCATCGCCTGAGCTCCTCCAGACGCTACACTACCGAAAATAATGAGTAAATGTTTTGGTATAAGTGCCGATAAAATTTTATGCCTCGATGTCCAAGACCACTAGTGCTGTGCATGTTCGCCAGTAATATCATGGTCCATTCAGCATCGCGTGGAATGACTACCAGGTGTGTCTAATACAGCGAGCCATATATATCTCAAATTAAAAATTATGACGTCATTTACTCATTATTACCCCCATGCACTTTTGAACCTCGTTTTGCTCTTTCTTCTCCACTTCAGCTACCCACACACTCCTACTACCATAATATCGACTACCTTACGCCACGACTTTAAATCCTACATGAAGAAGCTCAATCATAACATTGAACAGGGGATCATTGCTGACCTCCGGTTGAAAATGACCACACGAGCCATTGCCAAGAGACGTGGAGTATCACAGGCCAAGGTCTCTCAGTTCGCGCAGACCATCAAGGAGACCCTTCCGCCGCGAAAATCCGGCCGCCCTGGGAAAGTATCTGTCGCGTGCCACGACACGATCGATCGATACTTGGCAAGTGATCGGTCGACTCTTGGCAACGCGTACGACCGTTACACGAAGGCAATGAGAAACATATATATATATCCCGTAGTTCTGTATCTTTTATTCCTTATCTAGCAACTTCAATATATCTACGCTTTCTTGACCCTGTTTCCCAAACTGCATCTCCTCCCCCTTGTTCTGTCCTGCCACGCTTAAGAAGGTCATCTTGACTCTGAATAAGCATAGGTTCGTGACAGTATCCGAGGCAACCAAACGTTTGATGGTTCGAGAAATCACAAATGGTACACTTCAAACCGCTGTAGACGTGCAGGAACGGCTTAGTAGAGACTTTGCGACGGACTTGACGGCAGCAAGAGTTCGACAGATCTTGAGACAGGAGGGTCTGACCGCCGTGCGCAAACGGCGAAGGCCAAAACTTACCTCCAAGCACAAGGCGGAGCGCATGGATTTCGTGCGAAAGTACGAGCACTGGACAATCGATGATTGGAAACGAGTCGTTTGGTCCGACGAGACTAAGGTCAACCGCATTGGGTCCGATGGAGTCCTGTGGGTCTGGAAAAAGGGAGGTGACAAGTCTCTGGACGATCGGCTTGTCCAGGAGGAGGTCAAGTTCGGCGGCGGTTCCATCATGCTATGGGGGTGCATGACCTGGCATGGTGCTGGATTCATTTCCAGGATCGAGGGGATCATGGACGCCAGTCTCTATGTCGAAATCCTGGAGGAATGTCTCCCACTCACCCAGCGCTGGTACAAGATCAAGCCTAAGGATATGATCTTTCAACAGGACAACGACTCGAAACACACTTCCAGCACTGCGATGAATTTCTTTAAGCAGCACAAGTACAATTTGTTGTTCTGGCCGCCCAACTCTCCTGACCTAAATCCGATCGAGCACCTCTGGGACTACGCAAAACGCCAGTTAGGCAAGTACCCGGTGCCTCCGAAGGGCATGATCGAACTATGGGAAAGATTTCAGGCGGAGTGGAACAAGATTCCCCCTTCTGTCTGCCAAGGCTTGATTGAGAGTATGCCCAGAAGGATCGAGGCTGTTAAGAATGCCAAGGGAGGCCACACTAGGTACTAAGCAGGCCATCAGTAAACTTGATATCGAAGATGAATAAAAAAAAATAAAAACCATGTCCATGGGAGAAATAATGAGTAAATCGAACAGTTTAAACTTAATTCTGTATACAACGCGCAATAATTTTCTCCGCATCTCTCAAATGCTGTAGATTACTTTTCATTGCATTGGCATGTTATCCTGTAACTATCACCAGCTATATAACCCGGGTTCGGAAACAACTGACAAATGTGCTACAAAAGTGAAAATCATTTACTCATTATTTTCGGTAGTGTATCTCAGCTCGGTGGAGGGTGTAACTGAAGACGAGGAGACAGTAGTGGCGGAATTAGAGACAACACTTGCAGCGCAAACGGAAAGCGAAGAAGACGAAGTTGAGAACGTTGGCGATGTGGCCGCAGTACCCATCCCACTAGTCGCCCATCCCAGGCTAGAGGAAACACTGGTGGAACGAAGAGAGCGGAAACAGAGATACGTGGATGCAGGCTTGAGAAGCGCGAGTCAACATCCAGCGCAACGAGACATAGAACGCGAACGTCTAGAGGTCGAATTCGAACGTGAGCAGAAACGGATAGACAAGGAACGGCAAGCAGCGGAGAGGCGACAGGAGAAACGGATAAGAGCGACTCAGGACAAGCTCCAAGCAGTCAGGAAACGCCAAGCGGTTCAAGCAACACGGATAGCCCGGCGGCGACGGATTCAAGCCTGTCTGGGCGAAGCAAGAGCGGCAGTTCGAGAACGACAAGAGACACGACGACGACTCCAGCAAGAAGCGGAAAAGCGATGGAGTAAGAGGATGATGGAGAAACGGAAGCGTGTGGAGAGGCGGAGGAAAGCCAAAGAGAAGCTGCGGAAGAAATATGGAGGTCAGAACGATGAGAACGGAGACGCCCGGATGAGGATGGACGCAAGGAAGGAGATGGATAAACGCATGACGCCAAGGAATTTACCATTGCCACGACGAGGGGATCCTCTCAGCGACACGCACGGACTCAGCCTGTCCCAGGAGATGCTCGAGTATATCTATGAACAGAGAGAGGGTTTTATTGGTCAGGACAGCGTCACAATCTACTCGGATGGATCGCTCATGGAAGCTGGAACGGACTCAGTTAGCATGGCATTCGGAGTGGTGTTTTAGGAGCTAGCAGGAACATACCGTAGTGCAATCAAGGGCAAAGTGTCAGGCTTCGCATCATCGACAAAAGCAGAGCTGGCTGGTCTGCTGGCCGCCATCTTGGTAAGTCCGCGCGACAAATCAGTAACCATCAAGATCGACAATTCAGCAGTAGTCACACAGTTCAGGACCTTGGTGAAGCAGCGATCAGACTGTACGGAAAGACAGCGACTTCGTTCGACGTACGCAGTATGGTGGGCAGCAGTTCACAACGCCTACGTCCAGCAGGGAGAGGGCGTCACGGTGGAGTGGGTTAAAGGTCACGCTGGAAACGAAGGAAACGAGGCAGCGGACAGAGAAGCCAAGGCTGGGCACACTGGAGTAAAGTGGGAGCTCAACCCAAGACAGCACAATGATATGCGGTGCCACGCACTGTTCAACGGCGCTATGGTAGAGGATGACTTGCGGCAGATCCTTAAACTGCAGTCAGCGGCGAGGACACACCAGAAGTGGCTCTCGCAAAACAGGACAAAGGCCCACATCAGGAACTGGCAAGAGGTGGATTGGCACTCGTCGCTCGACATTATCCATGATGGTAACGCACCGAAAGGATATTTCACTAGTCAAGCGGACTGCAGCAAGAGGGGCACCGGATCAAAAAGGTGCATGGAATGTTGCCCACTCTGTCGTACATGAGGGGGTGGAGACCGGACCTATATCTCACCGACGAGTGTAGAGTGTGTGAGCAGGAAATAGAGGACACTCGTCATCTATGGCGTTGCCCGGCGACACTGGCGAGACAACAAGAGCAGTGGTCTGACGAGTTAGGAAAGATGAATGCGGTTGGAGCAAGAGCATGGAGGAGTGCAAAGAAAAAATGGGAACAGGAGACAAGGAAAGCGGCAGAGAAGGGAAAGGACGTCAGTCAACGCACCCCACCGACTTTTAAGGAGGCCGGAAGAGACGTCATGTGGGAAGCACTCGAGGTCACGTTCCGTGGGGTGCGGGAGATACGCAGGGCAGAGGCAGCAACAGAGGCAGAAGAAGGTTTCGAGGGAGTTGAGTGGGCCGTGCAGGATTTGTACCACGGACTGACTCCAAAGTGCATGGTACAGACATGGAAACGCATTTTCAGCACTACGGAACGAATTGCAACGTACATGGTACACCGCTTTGTGAAGGCCATTGAGGAGATCGGGCGGACTGAGATCTAGAACAGAAGATGCAAAGTCACCGTCGACTGGGAACGTGAACATGGGATCACTGCTGTGAGCAAACGCGCCCGGGGACGCAACTGTGTTGGAGAGCACAGACGTAGCAGCAATGATTTTATGGGATCTACCCTGAGGCAACGACAAGCACCCGATGGGAAAGAAATCAACGACACCGCGGATGAGAGGGTGCAGCGGTATTATTTTGGACAGCAGCGATTGGACGTGATGGAGCGGCTGGGAGGATGCCGCTTCTATAAAATGTCAGAGGACCGTGGCTAAAGGATGATCTTCGCGCACAACAGGCCACGTAGGGAGCAGGAGCCTTTGGCACGCCACTCATGCGGTTGTAGATTATGAAACCAAGGATCCGTCGCGGCGCTAGTCGGGGCGGGCAGTACGCTGCTTATTTTCTGTCCCACCTGTAGGACTCCTTCAGACCATAGTTAATAAGTCCCATGTCTATGAGGGTTCTCGTTAATAAAAAAAAAAAAAAAAAAAAAAAAAAGGACTGGAGTGAGGGCAACGGATGCATTTGCGACGCTGACCACTGTCCTTGTGGTGCGTTGCTCGCCGACCATACAAATGGGAGCTGCCCTAGCCTTGTGCTCGAGCCAGACGCACCGGATCGGACGCTGCTGGACTGCCTGCAAGGGAGGAGGCGGTTGACAACGATGGAGTGGATGGGGAAGATACTCTTTTTGTAACAAGGAGTTTCAGCTTCTAACACACTGATGAGGTGTGGTAATTGTTGCACAGGCCCTAAGGGCAGGCCCGGGAATGTAACCTGTCAACTGGCGACTGTGGATCGGTTCTGCTTTGGTGGGGAGGACGACTGTAGTAGATCATCGCTAGTTAGGTCTATAGACTCGCAGGGTCAATCGACTAGAGAGACAAATTGTATTTTTTTTGTCCGTGTTGCACGGGAGCACTTTAAGACACTGCTGATACATAGATATTCGTAGTCGTTAATAAGGAGCGGTGTTTTCACTGTGATAATGAACATTACATACAATATCAGTTTTTTCTTTTATTATAACCTATATATATTTATCGTTGAGGAGTTTTATCTTCATCACAAGTAGCAGATTGAATTATACAAAAAGAGTGTAGAAAAGTGCATTGGTGCGTCTTTTTCCTAAATATTTTAGAAATCAAGTGAACTAATTTTTTTTTTTACTGTTTTTTCAAGAGTGCACGAATAAGTTTGTCTGTGGTGAATGAAAGAGTGAAAATGGTAAAAAATGCTGATTTTCAAATGCGAAATGAATACTGAGCATTTATAAGGGAGACCTTTTTTTTATTTTTTTTCAAGCAAATTTTGTCCGCGTTGGCAGAGAATAGTAATACTATTGCTGAGTTATTAGAGATGCTTTTATTTTACTTTACAAGAAGTGCTTTGGAATATTATTGAGAAGCAACAATAAACAATAGAACTATGGATACATGGACAAAGTGGTGACAACACTCTTGTTCGAGATCTGCGGAAAGCCAAAGTGACGTCTTGGCGGTGGGGTCGGAAGAGGCGGTGGAGGTACATACGACAGAGCTAGTCGAGGAGATTCGCCTGGAAAGAATCCAAAGGGTGGTTCTTGGTATTCGTCTGGAATGGAGCCCCAATCCCTTTGCGCAAAAAGCAGGTCCGCCTCAATTGCGTCTAATTCATCCAATGAGCCAATAGGTATATCTCCAGTGTCCATTTGTAACGCCGCAGCCGCAGCCTCATCCGGTATCAAAGCTCTAGGAGCTGATGTGAGCGTTGCGAGGGCTGGAGCAGCGGCCTCGGTCAAAGTGGGCGAAAGAGAGTAGGTCGACTGGGCTGCCATAGACAGTTCTCTCTCACTCGAATACTGTGCAAATGGCTCGCGCGATGATAGCAAGAGCTGCTGCTGTTGCTGTTGTTGCTGTAGATGCTGGGAAGGAATGTAGGTGTGCGTCGAAGTCTGGGAATCACCGGGTGCTCTTGAGGAATGCGGGTTCTGAGACTGAGGCGGATATGGCGAGTAGCCGGGGTGATCCATAATGGGTGTCATAATTCCATTCTCGTCAAATTGATATGGGTCATCAAGCGGGTTCGGGGTCATGACATCCATGTGCATGTATCCGTTCCTGGACTGAGGATGCGCAATGTCGTTCATGCTTGATAGTTCGCTCTCCATCGATGCCATTGAGTTCAGACGATGCCTTCCTGGAGCCATAAACGAGTTTGGGTACGAGTCTATTGGCCATGGAATGCGGCCATGAGGATCCATTCCCAAGTCCATATCAAAGTCCATTGCCATCTCCATATCGTCATCGCCCATATCACTGAGTGGAATGTAAAAGGAAGATGGTTGATTTGAATGCGGCATCATCGAGTACGAGTTGTCGTATGGGTGAGCCATTGGATACTGCCGCATGGAACGTGATGGACGTTGCTGAAGACGATGCGGATAAAAATTCTGAAGCCTGTGCTGAGAGGGGTGCATGTTTGAGTTCGAGCGAGTGGAAGGGTATTGAAATCCGTATTGCGGCGCAGATGGCGGCTGCATAGCTCGGTTGTCCTGAACGGAGTCCGCAGGCGGCATTGATTGGGATCCTGACTGAGATCGTGTCGAGGGCGATCTTGATCCATCCATTATGCTTGATGCCTTCTTGCTCTTCTTTGGCCCCTTTAGCGGATCGTCCAACGGCTTCGCTTTGCGTTTCCGGACCTTGTTGACGTCGTGAATCCTAATGTGTTCCTTGAGGACATCAGAGCGTGAAAAATGCTTGCCACATCCCTCCTGTGGACATGCGTAAGGCCGTTCGCCACCATGAGAACGAACATGACGAGCCAGGTGGGCCGAACGCGTGAAGGTTTTGTGGCAATTGGGCCAGGGACAGTGATGGGACTTTTTGGGCTTGGGATCGATCTCTCCTGAAGGTTCGTCACTGTCGTCTGGCTTGTCAGGGAACTGATCAGCCTGCGAATCTGATGATTATGAAAATGCGGAAGCGCAAAAAAGGATTAGATTTAAGCCTTGAGCGCATTTGTTAACTTCAACCACATCGAAGACGGACGTACTTGTATTGCAAGATAAGCTGCTATTGCTTGTTCCAGCCAGAACTGTGTTCTGAGATCTCCGCTGTGGCTGTGCTTCAGTAGCAGACACTTGGTCGCTTTCCTTTGCCGACGAAGTGTTTGACGAGGACATTGTTGTTGCATTTGTAGGTACCGTTCCTATTGTTGGTGTTACCGACGGTATTGAAGAGTTTTGTGAAGCTGCTGAGGCTGAGGTGTTGCTTGTGGACATGTTCTCCATGGGCCGCAATGGTAATTGCACTGTGGTTTCTGATGTATCAATGGTCAATGGCGATGATAATGCCAAGGATGTTGAAGAGATGGCGGATACAGGCGATGGGATCGATGGAGATGCAAGCAGTGAAGAATCAGATGTTGCCATGGCTGCTGAGACTAGTATGGGTGCTGGAGTTGATGTTGATGAGATAGTGGGGTTGTCTGTATCTAGTTGGGATTGTGCCTGGAATTGTTGTACCTGAGCTTGTGCCTCCGTCTGTGGCTGTGGCTGTGTTTTGGCACGGAGTCCTTTAGGGCCCGTATGGATCCTGGAATGTCGAGTAAGTTCGTCACTCCTGGAGAACCGTTTTGTACAACCGGGGAACTTGCAGGCGTGAGCCTTTTCGCCTGTATGCGTGCGGATGTGTCGATTGGAGTGCTCGAGGCGGAAGAAGGACTTTGGGCAGAAGGGACACTGATAGGGTCTCTCGGGGGCATCTGTTTGGTGGCACTGGAACGGCTTTGGGGGCTCGCCGTTACCAGGTGGTGTCGGTGGTCGAGGGAGGCTGTATGGAGGCAGGTCGTCTGGTTTAGAAGGTGTAGATGGGGATAAAGTTGTTGCTGGAGGGACAGCAGAGATGCTTAATGGCTCCATGGTTGAACTGCAGCTGCAATTGACGTGGAGATAAGGGAGATTGTGGGAATTGCGGGGAAGTGAGGCAGTGGATCCGGGGGCTGTGTGTTTAGAAAAGAGAGAAAAGTGCGGGGTGGATTTGTTCTTTTTGCGGGGTCAAATAGAGACAAGGAGCCGGGGGGCGGAAGATGATCTAGTTGGCTTCCTGAAGTGGATCAATTGGAGGTGGAGAGAAGATACTGAAAAGTGGCCAAGGTGCGGAGGGGCGAACAAGAAAAAAGAAGAAAAAAAGGATCTGACGAGAATCTAGAGAAGAGAGTAGTTGATCCAAAGGAATGAGGAAGTGCGATGGAGAGAAAGGAGAAATAGCACAAGGGTAGAATCCCGAGATGGAGAGGAAAGTGGCGTCAGGTTAAGCAGGCTGTGATCAAAGGAGGAAGAGGGGAGCGAGATGACCAAAGGGGAATGAATCCTCCGAGGCGGATGAATGATTGAATCAGTCGAAAAGTAAATGAATGGCTCTTGGTGGGAGGGAGGGGAGTGGAGAGGGCGATTGTTCTCACAGATACACTCCGCACCGAAGTTCATAATCCATGGACTCACTACTGCTGTATTATTATGTTTATTTATGCCCTTGTGCCAATGATGGTGAATAGGCGAATACGCAGTGTAGGCAGTGAAGAGAGTATGTAGGAAGGTGACCCACTTTTTTGTTGTTGTGACATTGTATCTTGTGCGACCATCGCAGGTGGGCTCTCTGCTAGAAAAAAGTGGGTCCTTGTGAACTAATGAACAAGCCAAGGCAAGAAGACACTCCCCACGGAGCAGCAAACGTCCTCTTTTCTTTCCATCTCTGTCAGCTCCTCTCTTTAAGACGTCAATGCATGCATCGTAGCGTAGGGAGATCATCGTGTACTGCTTGCGCTAACCCAAAAGGTACAGTGAAGATGAAAAGCGGTCTCATTGGCAATCAGGCACACATCCCTGCTTCTTCTCTGGCACGCTATATGAAGAGTCATGCCCATACCCATAAACCTTTAACTACCTTTTTTCTCTCACGCCTTTACAACGGCCTCTCGCTGAAATGAAGAGGGGACGTTGATAACAAACACTAGCCCCACCCATTTTTACTGTTTGGACCCAGTTGATTTCGTTTAAGGTTTGAGTCTAAGCTCTCCTATTGGACTAGATCTATGCGGTATTCCGGCATCTTCCTTGAGCACCGCCCCTGGACAAAATGCATCGACGTTCATCTTCAGTGCCCAATATAACACCAACATGATGCCGAGAACCTTGGATATGCTTTTCACCCCACACAAATGTCCCGCTCGCATGGCGTTGCCGTGTGGTTATCTGCCTTGTTTAAAATCTTTTACCCAGTCTTCTTCCTTAATGACCATTAAGGAATAATTTACTTGGCAACCTGGGTTGCAGTCTTATTTGACAACCCATACGGAAACCCAATTGCCACGTTGAACATGCAAGTCAATTCCCGCAGAAACCCATGTAACTCATTTACCTTGAAAATCGGGCCTATGGCCCAAGTAATACCTTACCTGTGTTCACACGGCGGCTGATTCTCGAGAGGGTCTGTTGTTTACGCTCAGGCTGCCTTTACCTTCGGCAAATGCACATGGACTTTCTGCAGGGGTTGTCATTAAAGACTGTTCCTTAAAAAATAGGACAACATGGTACCTTGGGCCGCTTTTTTTTTTTTTTTTTTTTTTTTGAAATAAACACATAGATTACTTTATCTGAACTCGTGCACAGCAGTGCTGATCTTCTTCCTTCGTTCTTTTTGCATGAACCTTTATCATGATAAATTGGATAGCTGTCGCATGGCAGCATCTTAGGTCCTTTCTATCTCTTCCATCGGCTCTCCAAATATTTTCAACCGCGCCCCATTCACTGGCTCTTGGCAGCAGCGGCCTCGCGCTCTCTCTTTTTCAAGGCACGCTTGCGGATATCAACCTGAATGTTATAGTTCTGCTTGACCCAGAAGGCACGGTTGAGCACGTTGTCGATAAGCCAGTTGGCAATCGCGTGGCTGTAAAAGGGTGTAGAGGTGAATGGGGTCGAAGCACCCCCTGAGATACCGAGATGGCCAAGGACGGATTTCACATAGGGCTTGGGCATGGGGATCAACATGCTAGCACGACGTATCTTGGACATAGTCGAAACAACAAAGTATGTGTTCACGTTCTGGACATGGATGCCCTTAGGGGCCAACTCAGCACCAATGGCCTGGGACCAGCTGGAGAGGAAGGCCTTGGAGCCAGAGTAGACAGACAAGAACGGTGTAGGAACAAGTCCAGCAAAGGAGCCGAGGTTGATGATCAACCCGTTCTTGCTACGTACATGAATTCAGGCAAAGTGAGGATAGGTTAGGACCAGTGCATGTACACCGTTGCTAGCGTGCTAATCCTATGTCTGAGACGTACCGAGCAACCATTTGGGGAACGACAATCTTGGTGAGCTTCATAGCGGCCTTGACGTTGACTTCAATGATGTCATGGATGATCTTGTCAGTTTCCTGCTCAAACGGAGTGGGGATTTCATGGTTGGTTCCAACATTGTTGACTATGGGCGCGGTTGGGGTTAAAGTCGTGATAAAATCAAAAATTAATAATTCCATTTCCCCTAATTACCAGTTAAAATGCTCTCCGGTTTTCTGCAGCAACCATGGTAGTCTTACCGAGCACGGTAACTTCAATGGAGCTAAGCAACTGTTCGAGCGCCTTGTAGTCCGCCTCGGATCCCTTGGTGAAGTCCATGGCATAGTGCTTGGTCTCAACGCTGTATTTTTGTTCTAGAAGCATATGCCATAAATGGAATGGGCCTGAATTAGGAAGTATGTCCAGAGATCAAGCGCATTGTCAAACGTCGCCCATACTTACCGAGCTCTTCAGCAATGGCCCTCAGCTTGCTCTCGGTACGGGAAACAAGAACAATATTCAGCTTCTTGGAGGCCAGCTGGAACGCGAATTCCTTGCCAATGCCGTCCGTGGCTCCGGTGATAACTACAAGAGAACGATTTGGATATTTGATCGGTTAATTTCTGCAATCGACATCCAGTATACATGTCATTTGCTTGTTTAAAACGCAATTGCCCTTACCAGCCCAGCCACCGCGTCCAGCTCCGTATTTCTTGACCTACGTTGTAGTAGTATGATGACAATGAATCGCGTCAGAAACGAGAGTATTGAGAGTCAAAGAACGGAAACAGCACACCAAGGATGAAAGCATACATTGATTCCAGATCGCAAGAAGACGTCCGCAAGGACCTTGAGGAAGCTCAGTGTCTTGAGGGCAATAGCGGCGACACCGATGACACCGAAAATGGCAACAGCCGTGGCATTGCTGTCTGATTCTATTGCATTCACATAAAGAGATCAGTGCTGTTTTCTCCACTGCAAGACTGGGTAAACGCGCTAGGATGGAACATAGCCGCATACTCTGCACGAATTGGGTGATGTGCTCCATGGTGAGGAATCGAGGAAAAGTGAAGGAAGTGTGGGGAAGACGAAAATGAGAAGGAACACGCTTGGTCGCGACCCTTTTGCACGAGCACTTTTATCACAGAAATGCTGGGGGAAACCAACAATACCTGCACTTTGCACGTCACTTTTCTTTAAAGCCCGAGTGGCACTGGGAGCAAAATAACACTGCACAACCGTCGCAAAATCAGTTAAGCCGAGTCAGGACCATGGAAGTGGAATTCGAAACGAGACCTAACCGAGCGGGATCGTTGATCTGGTCCGAGGACAATGTGCTGGCACTTGTCACCAACAACGTGCTCCATATTTTTGTAAATGACAATTCGTCTTTCAACGACTCGAGGGACAGGACAAGCGCGTAACGGACATAGAAACTGACTAGGTCACATACTCCATTCATTTAATCGATACTAGGCACCCTCACTCAGTGGCGCCCTGGGTCAGTCCTCTTCCAAGTTCTACATTACCTCGGCTCCTGCTCTCACCGCTCAAGAAGATAGTCCTCCATGGGCGGTGCCAGGGAATGGTACACAATCAAATCGGATATGTACCCGTGGGCAAATCTGTCACGGAGATTAGACCTGCACTCACACAAGCGATGTATGGTCTATCGTCCATCCTCTTTAGTTGCGACATTGAGGCATGCCATGTCGCCTCAGTCGATCGATTTTATCCTTGCTGCATGGTCGCCAACCGGATGTTCGCCTGTGAAAGGGTGAGCGACAATCGATCATGGCAAATGCGACCGTCAAAGGTAGTACAGCTACTAATACGCCGTTCATCCCATCAAAATAGATGTATGCTGGCATGCATCACTTCAAGGCACTCTGTATTTCTTTATATACCGACATCCTCTCATTTAGACAAGCAGTGGAAGAAGGTAAGATGCTCGTTTCATTTATTTGTCGCCCCATTTCTAAATGAGAAGGGCGATCATTGACCTGAGATATATATGTTTTTCCAGTATGTAGCGTTGGACAAACACTTGGCGGCACACTGGAACGCTGGGCCGACGATTGATCTGGAGATGGCCGATAGAATCGAATCGGCTTCCTTAGCATGGTCACCAAAAATTGCTGTAGACAACATCGGATCAGTTCTGGCCCTTGGAAACAAGGCTGGACATATCATGATTTGGCATACGACAGATCCACACAATATTCGATGTGTCAAGGCATGGAAAACCTCAAGTGATACCTGGATTGTGTGTATGGCTTGGTCACCATGGACGATTGAAGATGATCACTACATCTCAACATTGGCCTTCGCGACCGCGGATGGTGTTGTTCAAGCACGCAAAATCAAGTTCAGCCCCATTACGCCACTCAAGGATATCGATGTGTCTGAAGATCTCATAGATAACTCTCGCCATACCCTGCACCCATGCACGGTTCTCCGCTGGAGCCCAACCAACATCGAGGTACATTCTTCTGATGACGACGTATGTAAGTGTTTAACTTACCGTACCTTATTAATACAGGTGGCATCCATCGTTACTTTATTTTATCTGCAGGATGCCGCTGCACCCAATGCACTCGCATATAGCAAAGGAAATAGATTGAACATTTGGTTTCCAGAGTCGAACAAAGTTCTTTTGTGGCGCCGGCCCATCGCAAAAGCCATCGCAGACATAGAGTGGGACACGCATGGGACAAAACTCTTTGTTTTCTTCATGGACGGGAAGCATGCTGTTCTCCGTCTACAGGGTGATGAGATTACGGTCGACGAAGAGGGGATTGAGTTCATTCACCAAACGATTATATCCCACTGCCATGTACAATCAAAAACCAACATCTCACAGGAAGAGGGCGAGACTGAAAACGCAAACGCGGACGAGGAAGGCGGGGATGAAGAGGCTAGTGGGGCCATTGCCAACAGCAAACTGCAGCTCCATATCAACTCTGGCGCCCGATCGGTCGGAGGTCTTCAGCTTGCCATCGTTTACTAGTAGGTCAATTGCAACGCTTATCTACATCTCATATCCATATCCTTTGTCGCCATGCTGATTAGCATTCCCGGTGAACGTATAGCGTTGCTTCCTCGTTTCGCATGGAATTTCAGCGTGAACGCTTTCAGTCATGTACTTTTGTGTTATCAAAGGCTCATAATGACGCTCAGAGCGTAGCACAAGCACTGCTTAAACGACTGGAGATCTTTATACACCTTCCCAATGCCGGTAAGTGAGGGCCTGTGTCGTCAATTGCGGATCAAGTGTGTTTAATGACTATTCAAACTTAATGATCAATTACAGTCCTACTCAGGAACCCAACGTACCACTTATGGGACCTGCTTTCACTACTCAACGAAACCGCTAAAACAAGCCGGGGCATTTCAGGACTTGCACAGAAAGTACTGAGTATTCTGGATGCAAATGCATCCGAAATGTCCAGTGAAATTCAAGCGCTCGCGAGGAAAGAATGCATGCCTGATACTGGAACCTCACCGGAATCAAGGTATGCCTGTTGACAATGGTATTGTAACCCGCTGTGCAGAAATGATAGGAGAAATATAAAGCCTGACTATTTAACTCATCTTCAAAGGTTAGAGGCAGCGATCTTTAAAGAGCCATCTATCACAGCGGACCGACTCTGTGTATATCTGTGGGCGCAGCTTCAGGTAAGTCGTACTAGCGCTATATAGCAGTAGAATACTGATGAATACGATCGGCGAACTAATCACGGTGAATTGTAACACCCTTTAGCAATGCGGAGTGAATATTTTCGATGGCGAACTCGGGCATCGAGCAACAGCAGCCGATATCCGTCTAAGGAAGCATTGTATAAGGAGTATTCTGCAGCTATTTAATGAGGCATCTGCTGCAATATCGAGAAGGCAGTCAAGCAGTGACATAGAGGCGCGAATGAAAGGCAAGGCATTGGCAGATCTCGAAAAGACTCATCGTCAAGTAACGAGCATCGTGGCAGTATCATTAACACAGCTCCTCCACTTCGATAGAATGCGATCAGATTTTACTACTGCTGCTCTGCGACAGTATCCTACTGTTCCACCGTGAGGACGAAGCGCTGCTGGATTTGGCTGAAAAGACGTACTGGATTCTGCAGGACCAATTGCAGGGCTTGTGCGATATTAAGGAGCAAATGGACATGTTGCAGGACATCAAGAAGAATACTACTTCAATCCATCGCTCGTTCAGTTCTGGAAGGGAAACATGCCCAGCATGCGGTGGCGAGATAAAGTTGGAGAGCGAGCTGCATGCTACCTGTACCAATGGCCATGCCTGGCAGCGTTGCTCTATCACGCTTCTAGTTCTAGCGGATTTCCACCCAAGGACATGTATCGGCTGCCGTCGAAAAACGCTGATGGTTCCAGATGCTAAATCGGGGGTGTCTTTCCTTTCGGGTTCCCATTCTGATTCATGGCTAGAGTTAGTGCTTAAAGCAAACGGCGTGTGCTGCTTTTGTGGAGAGCGCTATTTTACAGCCCTTCGGCGTAGATCATGATCTGCCCGTCACGCCTGGCCCTTGTTTACAATAAAAAATAAAAGACCGAGCTTGGGCTAATAATTCATTGCCCAGCTTAACCTCTAGACCTTCCCTGATCTCTTTCTACTTGATGCTCCATCAGTTCAGCCGATCCTTCTTTCCTACCTTACACTCATTCAGAAAACAGCCTTTCTTTTTATCCAAACACATGTCCGAAGCAGTCTCCTCACCTACCGCTGCAAGCAGCAGCGTCGCGATTCCCGCTGCTCAGCCTGCTATCATTACCGCCCAGGACTCAGTTGCACCTACAACGAAGAGATCCAAAAAGGTCAAGAAACTGAGCAAGAAGGACATCGACGAGGTCTTGATGCATGATATTGTCGAGCTGCGAGGACACAACCATTGGGACTGGGATGCAAGGACACCCCCGCCCTTCCAAAACTTCGAAGAGCTTGAGGTTACAATTGGTAGCCTGGCTCAGTCTGGGGAGGGCTTGGCCCTCTTACCAGAACGTGGAGATGGATGGGTGGTGGTAGTGCCATTTGTGATCCGAGGAGAGAAGGTCAAGGCAAGGGTTTACCGACATAACTGGTACGTGCTACTTAGTCTCGATCTGCAGTGAACTTTGACTCGACCAAAGGAAAAGTGCGCTAATATGGTTTCACATCTGGAAATGATTGCAGGGGTTATTCGCATGCGGATCTGGTTGAGGTCATTCAGCCGGCAGAGAACAGGATCGCTCAAAAGGATGTGCTCTGCAAGTATTTTGGAACCTGCGCTGGATGCCAATTGCAGCACATATCCTACGCTGATCAGATGCAGTTCAAGCGCAAAGTCGTCGAGAACGCTTTTAAGAACTATGCCGGTAAGTGCCTGAGTATGACACCTGTTCACGCCGTTTGTTGCTCTAGATAGCGTCCAATCTGACACTCAATTGTTTTACAGAAAAGTACTTTGCTTCTCTTCCAGCTGTCGATCCGGTTTCTCAGTCGCCTCTCCAGTCCCAATATCGCACAAAAATCACACCTCATTTCGAAGTACCGAACCCGAAGCATCGAGTCGCAGATGCAAACCAGGATGTCCCAATTGGGTTTCTGCAGGCTGGAAAGCGAAGAATCCTGGACATTGAGGATTGCCCGATCGCTACACCCATCATCAACGAAGGCATGAAGATCATGAGAGCGGAGGTGAAAAAGTACGGAATTGATTACTATTCATTATTCAGGATCGCTCAACATGGAATGATTGAGAGACAACATCTAACCTGCACCTTACTGCGCCCATTGATAACTCTAGGAATATTGCTTCATACAAGAAGGGCGCTACCATGCTTCTCCGTGAGAGCAATCCCGTTGTACCTGGAACGGAATCAGAGGACCCTCCCAAGACTACTAAGGTCTGCATCACAGATCACAAGGCAAACATCACAGAGTGGGTCGGCAAGTTCCGCTTCGACTATCCAGCAGGTTCATTCTTCCAGAACAACAATGCTATCTTACCGTCTTTGATCGGCTATGTCAAGCAGCAGCTACATCTTCCACTTTCAGGATCTTCGCCTTCACCATCAGCACTGGCAGAGCCTTCCTTATCGAAACCTTCGACAGAACTCAACCATGAAATCCAATATCTCGTTGATGCATACTGCGGCTCAGGATTGTTTGGCATAACCTGCCACGAGGGTTTCAAGAAAGTGCTGGGTGTTGAGATTTCGGCCGCCTCTATCTCTTGCGCCACCAACAACCTTGTCCTGAACAAATTATCGACGAAGACAGCGGCCTTTCATCTGGATGATGCGGACAAGATTTTTGCACACATTGACTTCCCTTCCTCCGAGACAGCCCTTATTATCGATCCACCAAGAAAGGGCTGCTCTGACGAGTTCCTGGACCAGATGGTGGACTTCCGGCCTGCCCGTGTCGTGTACGTGAGCTGTAATGTGCAGACACAGGCTAGGGATCTGCAAGGATTGTTGGATCGCTGTGCAGCCAAGGGACTCGCTGGATACAAGGTTGAAGCCATTCGTGGATTTGATCTCTTTCCTCAGACAAGGCACGTTGAGGGCGTTATGACCCTGACGCGCCTCTGAGCATAATTTTTACCACAATCAAGCAAAATAAAGATCCCTACTTTCAACAGCTTTCCTCCATTCTCTATAAGCTCCACGAAAACAAACGATGGCAACCACTACAGCAAACGATTCTGCCTTTGACTCTACCACCGACCCAGCTAATCTAAATGAGGACAACGTCGTGGAGTTGATGCCAGCCCCCCTGCAACCCCAGGTTCAGGCACAAACCCATTCACTCGACATCCCTGGCAAACTACAGCAACAGCAACAGCAACAGCAACAGCAACAGCAACAGCAACAGCAACAGCAACAGCAACAGCAACAGCAACAGCAACAGCAACAGCAACAGCAACAGCAACAGCAACAGCAACAGCAACAGCAACATCTGCAGCAACATCAAGAACAGGATAATGATCCGAATAGCGACAAGAATGTTAGTCCGCAAGAGCTAACGCTATATGTATGGCTTTATTGTCACCTTGCGCCTTTACAATTTCAACAACGAATTTGTTCGACTAATGAACCAAGCGGACGAGAACTGACTCCATTCTTTCTGCTGCTATCTGGTGCTAGGTCGAAAAGCTCCTCGAACAAATCAATTCCAAGTTCGATGGAGTATCAGTGCAGATATTTGGCAAGAGTACGTTTTCGCTAATTGTTGGGAAGGATATCTGCGTTACTTTGAGTCCATTCGACAACAGGATACAGCATCGTGTCATTAGCAAACCTCAATGTGTTGTATTCAAACTAATGGGCCTTCCTCTTACTCTTGTTAGTGGACGAAATGTCATCGAGGATTGAGGAGCTTGAAAAATCTATCGGCGAGTTGGTCCAGAGCGCAGAGGATGACTCCAAGACACCACCGATCTCTAAAACCTCACAGGCGGGCGGCCAGGACTAATAGAAGTAATAGCTTGCAATAAAACACATCATTTAACATACGTTTTAACAAAAGCACGGCATGTCCTGCTGATAATATGAGTTTGTTCACGAGCATCACCTTATGGTATGATACGTGTCACACAGAAAATGTTATGCGAGATAGATGAACGGCTTCATCATCCCTTCACCTTCTGACCCTGTTCTTCAAATCGCTTCAACATGGTACCCACGGCGCAGGAGATACCGCCACTCACATCCAGGGACCTCGGAATCACCAAATCTAACGCACAGGAAAAGGAGGGACACTCATTAGCCATTCCGAGTCTCGAGTACATCAAGTCCTTAACGAACTTGACTGACATCCAAGAATGCCTACGACAATTGGAATTAGAAGAGACCAAGGTTGACGCGGACTTGGATGAACTGCTGTCTGAACGCGAGGACTTGGAGGCGAGCCTTGACAAACTGGAAGTGTTGGAGTAGGTTCAATCGGAGGACAGCGGCGAATTGAGGCGACACTAGGGTTAACAACTCGGAAGTTAGTCCCTTCACAAAGAGAACACGCTGCTCACACTTTCAACCCCACCGCGACATCGTCAACGATAACTTAGGCCACAGCTGGGTAGTCTTCAACAAGAATCAAAGTCCCTGGTCAAGATCATCAGCGACACATCTGGACTGGCAGAGAGTATCAGCGTCAAGGTCAGGCAACTTGACCTGGAGCAGTCGCGCGTACAAATGGCGATCAAACATGTGGAGGATGTCCAGGAACTCAAATTCTGTATCTCTGGAATCCTACGAGCAATGGAGTTATCAGATCATGAGGATGCAGCAAGACACATGCACAAAGCACTCGGGTTTGACAAAAATATCCTTGAAGGGTCATTCGCAGAGATATCGGTGGTAAGGGCCTTGTAGCGCGATAGATTATCGATATATCACGCGTTTGGAAAGCAACGGCTCGAGAAGCTGAACGCCTCTATGGTCTACGCTATCCCCATAGCCCTCTGCGTCGAACCCTGAATACCCAACGGTGATCCTGGAGAATGCCAAGGCTAAGCTTTTGGATATTATTTCAACAGAATTCGAAAACGCGGTACAGAGGCAGTCTGAGGAGGACATCACACGATACTTCAAGCTTTTTCCTCTACTGGGAGAAGAGCAGGTTGGACTGGACAAGTATTCCAAATTTGTCTGTGCGATCGTCTCGGGAAAGGCGCAGGCTTCATTGGTTGGACCACGTAAGTATTGGTGCAATCGACAAGTGTTTGCCTTTACTCTATGACTTTGAAGTATGATCGGCAATTAATGGGTGCGCTTCGATCTCTAGCCAAATCGCCAACGTTCTATGCCGATACTTTGATTAGACTATTTGAATCCATTGCAATTATCGTCGACCAGCATCAACCGGTGGTAGAGAAGTATTACGGCCCAGGAAAAATGCTCCGCGTCATTCAAAGACTTCAGGAAGAGAGCGATATTCGCAGTCGAAAGATCTTGGAAGCATTTGAGGAAGAACGCGAGATCAGCAGAAAGGTATGTCTGCGGGGGGTGCTCCATCTTTTCGAGGTTCTTTTGTTACATGAAAGTCAGAATACATCATATGGAAACCACAACTGGTACTCTCTTGAGCTAATAGGTCGGAGAAATCAAGTCGTTCAGGGATCCCAAACGGAATCTAATCGCACCAGCAGGGTCCATTAGGAGTCTCACGCCACAGCCGGGCATGTCCGGTTCTCAACAGGCGGCTGTTCCAGAAGTGATCGATCCACGCGAACTGGATATTAATTTGAATGAGATGGTCTTGATCTCACAGCGTGCACACCTCTACAACCGCTTCCTGGAATCTAGGGCCAAGGTATGTATCCTATTCTCAACTAGAGTGGCAATGATAACACCGTCTTGCTCATGCTACTAAATTATATATTTTCTTACTACGGCCACCAAACTAGCTGGAAATTGAGCATCTGGAGCAAGGACATCAAGTTGGCGATTCACTCGTGGATAAGCCAAGAAATTTGTACAGCGAATCAGGTCTACTGCGCGTCAGCGGTCTATCGCGCAAGGTCGAGGAGATTATCGACTATTACCTGGCTATTGAGGAGTTCTTCTTGCGCCGTAGTGTCGACAAGGCGATGAAGATCAGTGAGGACGACTTTGGCAGCAAAACTTCGAGCTGTGTGGACGACGTGTTTTATATTCTCAAGAAGACCATTTCGCGGGCGGTCTACACTTCGAATGTGGAATGTATGGGTGCCATGATCAATTTTATCAAGAGCACACTGGAGATGGACTATATCTCTGTCTTCCAGAAGAATATGGCCGGCGTTTTTTCAAGCGGAGACACTAAAGAGGCACGGTTTCAATACATGGTGAGTATAAGAGTACGCGATTTATAATTTGCTCTGATAGGCTATGGATGATCTGACGCGCTTTTCTGACCAACTGTCTCGCCTTCTCGAGATAGCTGCTTCTCAACAACATCAATGTCAGTGTTGATTACCTGGAGAAGCTGACGGCTGAGATCGAGCAAGAGTCCGCCTCAACATTCACCTCTCTCTCAGAACACACGCTTGCCAAAGCCAAGGCAGTGTTATCTGGCTTGACAGGGTCATCAAGCAAGTTCAAACAGATCTTGAATCTGGGAATCGAGGAGTTGTTTGAAAGGACACTGAAACCTCGTCTACGACCACTTTTGCAGGATTCTTACAAGGAAATTAAATATGTTGTAACGGACGAAGAGTACGCAGAACAGGAGGCGCTCAACAGCTTTGTGCATCGTTTTATGTCAGGTTTTGATACTCTAATTGAGCCATTCAAGGTAAGCCAGCCAATACTCCCATTGGGGATTGATATATGAATCTTTTGGCCCATATTTTAATGTATATTTCATTCACTTTTTCATAGCTCACATTGACGGAGGACAACTATAACCAGGTGATTGCCAATGCGGTTACCAGCTTGACCAAGACGTGGGAAAAGATTATCTTCCAGACCAAGTTCAACAAGATGGGCGCCATCCGGTTCGACAAAGATCTTCGCGCTGTGGGGTTCTACTTGGTATCACTGACGTCGTTCCCCGTCAGAGAAAAATTGACGCGGCTGAACCAAATGGCGATGCTTTTGGATCTGGAAGAACTCGAGGACTTGTACGAGATCTGGGGCAACAATTCAGGTGCTATCACTTGGCGTCTCACAGACGCGGAGGTCCGACGTGTTTTGAATTCCAGGTAAAGGCGCTCGGATTACGTTCAATTGCAGAAGATACCCTCGAGACCTCGCTCTAACCGTCTTTGTGCTGTTATAAAATAGGACTGACTTTCATCCAGAGGATGTAGCACGGTTGAAGCTGTAGACCTAATAAAGCGTACACCACATTTGCTCAAGGAGGCCAATGCTAGTCACATGTGGCCAGAAGACCACCTTCCAACTCTCTGCAGATGTGCCCCTTCCTTTCGCCTTGCATGCTTCCACCCTTCTCTGCATTTCATCCCTCCAGCAGATCATCGGGCGTACAAGACATTCACTCTCCACCTTGAAAGTGTTAACAATATGAACAAAATAAACCATGACCAACTGCTCTCATTGGAGCATCCTTTTGTTAAGGTCAGACTGAAGCACCTTTTTCAGACTACGCCCATTGACTTGAATATCTCTTGCATCACAACGTATTGACGGATTGACTCTACCGTACCTTCTTACTTACTATGATTGTCTCGCCTTCCAGATTCCGGTGGAAAAGCTCAGGTCCTCGCTCAGGACCTCGCAAAAGCACATTGAGAAAGAGATCGCCAACTTGACGGACAAGGTATCGGAGATATCTAAAAAGTCGGTACAAGGCAGCATGGATTCCAAGCAAGTCGAGGTTGCCCTAGAGGCTATTGTAAACCGCCTTAGTACTCTAAAGCGAAAAGTACGATATCGTATTTGATCTTTTTATCCATTTCTCTTGCCCTTGCATTTCCGTTTTGAGGCGCTTACTAATCTGCCGTTGATGCTTTGCTGAACTGCTGTGTGTCTAGCTCAAAGACACGCGCGCCGATGAAGCCCTATACTCGCAACGGACAAAAGTGCGATTACAGCACCTCCAGGACTTCACGACGATCGCGACCTTGGATTCTGATGACTTTTCAAGGTGGAGCAGGGTCCGACTGAACCGCATTGTGATTGACTATATGCTGCGAGATGGTTTCAAAGAGACAGCATCACTCTTGGCCAAGAGCGAGCATATCGAGGTACGGAAGAATACTCAGAAGCTCATTTCATTTTGATCCCTGAGGGACTGAGGCGGCATTGCTGACACTAATTTCGACTCGCACCTTATGACTTATAGGACTTGGTGGACATAGAGCTGTTTGCACAGTCAGCCAAAGTCGAGCAGGCGTTAACGCGCCAGAGCTGCACAGAGTGCTTACAATGGTGCAAGGATAACAACTCTAGCCTTAAGAAGATCAAAGTAACGCAGCATGCGCATTTATTCGGAATAACCTACGTGAGATGTTCGTGATGCTATGCTAATCTCCCATACGCCCTTCACCTGTTTATGTAGAGTACACTGGAATTCAGTTTACGAGAGCAAGAGTTCATCGAATTGGCGAGGGAGCGGCGATCTCAGGAAGCCATTGCCTATGCGAAGAAATACCTCACTCCCTGGCAGGAAACACACATCAAGGAAATCAACCATGTGATGGCTCTCCTTGCCTTCCCGCCAGAGACAAAGTGTCATCCTTACAAGCGACTGTACGACAAGTCGCGATGGAACGATCTGGTTGCCCAATTTCGATCCAACAATTTTGCGCTTCAGTTTTTTACGCCTGAGCCGCTTCTGAATGTTACTTTGCAGGCGGGCTTGTCTGCTCTGAAGACGCCGATGTGCTATCAACCGGATAATCGGAACTTTAACTGCCCGGTGTGCGATCCAGAGACTCTAGGTGCACTTGCGGCGGATCTCCCGCTGAGCCATCATTTTAATTCCTCGATTGTGTGCAGGATCAGCGGTCAGATAATGAACGAAGACAATTTACCCATGGCGCTCCCCAACGGATATGTCTACTCTTATAATGTAAGGGGACCTGTTCAGAATATTTTCATGAATATGATGATACGAACAGAATGTACAGTAGTAACACTCTAACCATCAATATCAATTGCTTTTTGGATAGGCGCTGAGCGAGATGGCGAGCCTCCACAATGGCAAAATTACATGCCCACGAACAGGCGAAGTCTTTGATAGCACGCAGATGAAGAAGGTTTTTATTTCCTGAAGCTTCTTTTTTTTTGCAATACCTCAATAAAATGTATATTTCGCCTACTTGTGTTTCATTAACGAAGGGCAGCAAAAGACCCCTTCTTTGTTTGTGTTCGCTGTTACGTTTGCATCCTTCTCGTCTTCCCTCCACCCTTTCTGCAGCAGACCGACGATCTCGCCATTCCTGAACGCATTTATTATTTGATCGGATCAAGCCTTCATGTTGCCCCCAGCTTCTGATTCGGCCACCCCAGCGTCTGCTGTCCCTGCCCTGAACTCGCTTCCTGAAGTCCCCACCCTTGCTTCGGTGCTCGATTCCAATGACCCGGCTGTTCAGGCATTCCTCATCCAGGCTGCCTTGACCCACCAGCAGGCGACTGAAGCTGCAGCTGCTGCAGCTGCAGCCAACCAGAATAGCACCACTACTTCAGAGCCCACAGCAGGAGTGTCAACACCAGTGTCAACAGCTACAACAGCGATATCAACAATAGCAACAACAGGTGCTGTATCGGCTACGGCTGCTGTAGCTGCTGTCGTGGCCCAGCTTGCAAATACAGTGCCACCTGAAGTCCTGCAGCGGCTCCTTCCTTCGACCATAACGTCTTCACCTCTCAGTTCGCTCGGAGCTCACACCGCAGTCTCTGCTGCAACCTCGACTTCGGCAACTGCTTCCCTCTCAGCACTGACTTCTGTGGCCCCAATCCCTAATGCAGAACCTATCCCAGTAATTGCGACCAGCCCGGCTTCAACAACGCTCTCGTCGTCTACTCTATCCACAATCAGCACAGTAACCCCTACACCGGTACCGGCTGCAACGACGTCGACGGTATCCAAGCCCAAAGCTTTGGCCACTACTTCTTCCTCCTCGTCGACATCGTCTTTATCATCCTCGACAAAGCGGTTTAACCCGGATGATATATTTTGTCTGGGCTGCTGTCGCAACCTGCCAATCGATAACTACACTTGCCCCAATACCAACCGAGTCTTCAAGTCCTGCAATGCCTGTCGTCAAAAGTCCAGGATCAACTCCAAGAAGGTGACAAAGCCGGCGACAGTCCCAACAAAGCCGACTATCTCGATGGAAGAATTTGGCGCCAGGCTGAGGGAACTGGAGGATACGCAGGAGGAGTCCCATTTGGATGTGATGGTACGACTGGAGGGATCTGTCGAGATGGATCCAGAAACGTTGAAGACACGTGGTTCCCAGATCGCCGCTCAGGTGTATGAATCCACGGGCTACTGGTTCTCGTAAGTCTGCGCAATTCTGATGTTCTTACGACGGCGTAGACTAAAAATATATCTATGAGTGTAGTCCTCTCATATCTGTTTTTATTTTGTTCGTATATCCTATAGTCACTCAAGGACAAACGACGAGACGCAATCAAAAACACGACTCAAGATATACGGATGTTCGCAGCGAGAGGATCGACGAGCACCACCTGCACCGAAGACGCAGAGCAGGAAGCGAAACCGTCCATCGACCAAGTCCTACTTCCCATGCAAGGGCAATTTGACTATGACGTTCTACCACAACATGAATCATGTCCGAGTCGTCTATGGTCACAGGAAGCACGCCAAGTATGACAACCGCAAGTGCCCCGACCATGTACGGGCTTATGTAAAGGGTAACCTGAACATGCCGCCTCGCCAGCTCTACGACGCTTTAAAAGAGAAGAATCCAGGATTGGGTATCACGCAAGCGCAAGTACGATACTGGAGTCACTATTACAAGAAGAACATGGACCAGGACGAGATTTCGGACGGGACCAAAGCTGAAGATAGCGGCACGATCACAACTGTAGATCAACTCGCACAGTCTGCAGCCTCCGTCAGCAGCAACACTAGCAATGATAGTAGTGATGGATTAATCGACACGAAGAACCATATTTCCAGCCTCGAGGGATCACCATCTCAGCAGCTTCATGTACACACGGATGAGGAGCGAGTCCAGCTACTCATAGCCTCCAATGCTGCTGCACTCCAGTCTCTTGCGGCACAGACACATCAGGTCGAAGCCAGCCTGCTGGGAGATACGATTGCAATTTCAGTACCCATGTCCGAGCCATTGACGCCGAGCATTGTGCAGAGGGTCTTGGACCAAAGCGGCAAGGACTTGTTGCAGCTTGAGGAGAGTCTTCAAACTGTTTCGAACGTGCAGTCTTCGACCGACCAAGGCAGCAACGACGCCGTTGTACAGCAAGTCCAAGCATTCATGAAGGAAAATGACCATCAGCAGGAGCTTTTGGAACAACAGCAGCGTCAACAGCAGCAGCAGCAGGAACTGCAGTTGTGTCCGAAGCAGGAAGAGTTGCCGCTGAAGCAAGAATCATAGATAATTTATCGTCCATGTCCTCAATTCTGAGTTGTAGGGCTATAAAATAAAAAGCATTTCGTTATCACGACAAAGCGTTAGCCTACAAAAGACTGGCACATGGATATTGCCTACATCCTTGTCACTAAACAAAACAAAAGCACTCTCGTTCCTTTAGAAATTGTGAAGCAAAGGCTGGAAACCTTGCAGAGGGGTCTACTTCAACACTAGCCGATCAGCAAGCCAGCCAGCAATAAAATGAGATGGTAGTCCTCCCAACTCTCAACTTGAATGAATATTATACCAAACCTAGTGATCTCAAAAGTATGTGTTTTCTGGCTAGTTTTCCCCATCTTTATCGATATCGATCATAAGCGGAGGTACTTGGTATGATCGGTGGATATCGATCGTCCAAAACGTGCCGTCAAGCCCGATTTCGCCGCGCCGTAAAGGGCAAGGCCAAGATTGTCAGCATCAACGGCACAGTCGAATGCATCAATCCAGATTGCCCATCTCTCCAATGCGGATATGTCATCAAACCCCGGAACTCGCACACCACTGTCACTGTTGTTGTCACTATCGCGGGAGCCTTGACCCTCATGGAGCCCAACTGCGCCTTTTCCTCGAGCTACTTCCCATTCTAGTGCCGCCAGTACCACTATCACTGCCAGCCAGCAAGTATTGAAGTCATCTTCAAGCTCTCGACATTTAAAAACAATTCCACGAGGGCCTCCAAAGTGAAGCGGGGATTATAGTAACACGAAAGACGAATAGAAAGGGATGTTTCAACGCTCTGGTGTTTTATATTACATTTTGACACATATAACGTTCTAACATACTCGCATTGCAATTCTGGGTTGTAGGACTATAAGAGGACAAAAAGAACTACGGGTTAGTCAGGAAAGAGAGTACAACGGACCCAAGCTGCAATGAGAGAGAGAAAAATATCAGCTCTCTCATTCGCGACCACTCCCGCAAACAGGAATAAGACGAATTAATACGTTAATTAGTTAGGAGCTGGGTGGAGGAGGTGGCGGTGGTTGTGAAGAAGGAGGAGGAGGCGGAGGGGCCGCTGATGACGGAGGTGGTGGTGGGGGAGCCATGCCAGGAGCTCCAGCCTACGATCGAAGA